CCGAATTTGATTTATGGTCATGAACCTCCACTATTCACAGACGCGTCTACACTACTTTTCTACGACTTTTAGCCACTAAAAATGCGAGAGACTTATATCGAAACAGAAATAAAAATAAAAATTAATGTGCTATTGGTAAAGGAATCCCTTATAGGAACTTTTAACTAATTGTTTGGTCCCCTTTCCCATGTTTTTGGGCAAAAAAATACGTGGCATGGAATACATACCTATAAATATATGGTATTCAAGTTATCAAAGCTGCAATTTTTTTTAGTAATGAATGATCTGCAGCCAATCATATAAGTCCACATGGTAAATATATGCTCTCGTATAATAGTTTGAAAATTATACGAGAGCCGTAAATCACACTAGACTAACCATGTGTGACAAGCTCTACCTAACGACTGTTGACAAAAAAATTCGAACATGAATCAGTTGACACAGACTCACTTACTCCAACCACTAAAATATGCTTATTAAAAAGAAAATAAGGCATATTCCTTAGATCAGTAGACATGGTATAGAAGTAACCCAAAGGCCAAGTGGGCAAGAAAAGTGTGAAAACAAGCTAGATAAAGCTAATAAGCCTAGTAGCCTAATAGGGCTCTTGACCAAACCAAACCCTAATTAAAAAATTACTACTTAATTAGCTCTTCTTCCAATGAGTAATCAAGGACATTGTCTTCAAAAGATTAGTAAATTCACTAATTAATCTAATGTATTAAGAGTTGGCATTGTCAGTTTGCCAGTTTTATCTTTTATTACTAAAAATTTAATCATACAACACACACACACACACACACACACACAAAGTACACAAACAAAAGTAAAGTTAAACTAATAAAGCTGTAAAACTAATGACATGCCTTAAGCTACAAATCATGAGACTTACTACTAAAGTTTTGATAACAATTATACTTTGGTAATATTACATATTTTTAGTATGGAGAAGAAGGTAGAATAATGTTGAAGTGAAAAAAAAAGAATATTTTTAAATATAAATAAATTACACTAGACATAGTTAATAAGCTATGTGCATGCAATAAGATAATTCAAATTCGAATTATTTCACAACCAACCATATAGTAAACCTACACTGTTGTATGATAGTTAGCAAAAAGCATACGAAAGACGTAAACAACATTAGGCTAATATTTTGTGACTAGCTTGACTTAGTCATCGTTGACAAGAGATTTTGAACTTTGGTCAATTGACAC